GGCTTCATTCATAAGGCTCGACTTCTTGAGGACAAGTCTACCACAATCACGCGGTTGGCAAATGTCCTGCCACACGACACCAGATGTGGTTTACGTTGATCCGAAGAGCCACCCCAAAGAAAAGACCGGCCATATTGATCAAGCTTATCACAAATTCCCAAAAGCAAGGCAACGGTCTGCATTGCGTAATACGGAAGTGAGCAAAGAACGGACTGGGTCAAGGTAACTCTCCCTGCCGCGGAGAGAGACGCCGCCTTCCACCCAGCTAAACGAATTTTGGCCTTTTCGAGGATCCCCGCATAAGTAGCCTTAGTAACCCGTTTATGAATTAACGGCATCCCCAAATAAGTACCCAAATCCTAGACTCTTGCATACCCCAACCTCATAGCAATGTCCCGACGGAGTTCGTCATTCACTGAAGAGGATAAAAAAATATGTGTTTTAGCCGAGCTAACCTTCAGACCCGACGCCATGCAGAAACTATCTAAAACATCTTGCAGAATATCGACTTGCTCTGTAAACGCTTCCAAAAACAACAGCAAGTCATCAGCAAACATAAGAAAAGGGACACTAACCGACCCTCGCCATACTGATATCGGCTTCCACTCCCCACTAGCAACAGATAAACCAATTTGTTGAGCTAAACGTTCTATACAAAGAACAAAAAGGTACGGCGAAATCGGATCCCCTTGACGGACCCCCCTCGTCGGGGAGAATGCCTCACACACCTCGCCATTCCAAAGCAAATTCAGCGAGCTGGAGCTTACACAAGACATGATGGCCCACACTAAGAGTGAAGGGAAGCCAGCCAAACGAAGGCTGTCGAGAATAAAGTCCCATCGCAAATAATCATACGCCTTCTCGAGGTCCACCTTGATGACCATGTGTCCCTGCCAGTCCGGCACGTCCTCATCGAGTGAATAAGTTCCTGGGCTACGATTATGTTATCAGTTATGTGGTGGCCCGCACGAAAGAGGACTGTGTCGGATGCATGATGTCAGGCAGGACCGTCTTCATTCGATCCACCAACACCTTGGTGAACAACTTATAAGTCACATTAAGCAGGCTAATAGGTTTGAATTGTTGTATCATAGTCGGAGCCACCACCTTAGGGATCAGGACAAGCAAGAACCTATTCAGTTTCGGTGGTAAAAGCTCACCCTCCCAAATACGTCGAAAAAGATCGCACACAGACCTCCCGACAGTCTCCCAGTTCTTCCGAAAGAAAAGTGCATTCAGGCCATCGCTTCCAGGTGCTTTGAGTGGGCCCATAAGCTTCAAGGCGGCCTCAACTTCATCCTCCCCTATGTCCCGAGTCATGCAACCTGGCTGGCTCAAGTGAGGGAAAGCCATTATGTACCACACGGGCTGGTAACGGTGCTAAATCAGCCGAGAAGATAGCATGAAAGTGTGAGGCGGCCATGTGACTCAGTCTCTCCGGGTCTTCCTCCAAGTGCCCATCAGCATCCAAAAGAGAATGAACAAGGTTACGGGCCCGACGGGCTCGCACCTGTTGGTGGTAAAAGGCTGTAATCCTATCCCCAAACAATGTACAGTCACGACTAGATTTCTGTATGAGTAAGAGCTCCTCCTGCATCAGGACCTCATCCAGTTCCCGACGCAATGTCTTCTCTAAAGAAACCAAGCTCTCTTTAAAATAGAAGCGGTAAGATTTTTGGATTCCCCCTATCCGAGCCAAGAGTCTCTTTTTCCGTTGGAAAATATTGCCAAAGGTCTTAGAATTCCACTCCTTAGCCCGCATAGCAAACTGTGAGGCAGCCTCCATGAAAGGTAGCCCTGGGCGCCACACCTCCTTCAGCAACCGAGGGAAGTCTTCGTGAAGCAACCAAGCTGCCACAAACCGAAATGGTTTACTACCTCCCGGGTTAACCAGAAGTTGACCAAAACTGAGTTGAATAGGCGAGTGATCCGACTGTATACGCGGCAGATAGGACATTCTTCCCTCCGTAAATTTGTCCATCCATGTCGTGTTGACAATAAATCTGTCTAGCTTCTCAGAGACATTACCCTGATTCCATGTAAACATGTTATCAAGCGCATTAATCTCGCAAAAATGATTATTATTAACCTAGTCCCGGAACTCTCCACTAATATTACACGTAGCGAGCGATCCCCCAATCTTCTCAGAACGACGCAAAAGACAGTTGAAGTCCCCACCAATAGCCTGCGGCCCACGAGTCAAGGCCGCCAGCCGCTCTAAGTCAACCCACAGCCGGTGGTGCAACGCAGGATTTGGCAAGGCGTAAACAAAAGTGACATTTCAACACTCTTGATCCTTGAGTACCTGGGCATGGATAAATTGTCTCCCACATCGTATGATTCGTACGTCAATCCCGTCGAGCCAAAGAAGCCACATGCCCCCAGAAAAACCCACAGCCTCTATACGAAACAAAAATGCAAAGCGACTTCTTCGAATAACTCATCAGCGCCAGGCCCACTGATACGGGGTTCTAATAAGGCAATTACATCCGGTTTATTCTGTTGAACAAGAGAATGGAAGGCCAGCCGAAAAGACACAGAAGCCACCCCCTGCACATTCCAAACTAGTAACTTCATGTTGAAACTAAACATATGGATGGAGGCGAACACCCTCAGATTCGATCCTGGCCCTCCATGGCCATGTCATAGATAGCATCATCCTCCATAACTGATGGCGGCACACCACCCCTCCCCTGCAGGCGCGCCTCCTCAGGACATGGGCTCGGTCTACCAGAGGTTAACGAAATATGGTCCTCCAACATGTCATCCAACTCCACCCCCGAAACATCCTCTAACTCCAGATTGAATTCCATAAGGTGACCATCAACGATCTGCACCGCTCGATGTCTTGTACTATCCAAACCCAATCCAACCACTACGTCAAAAGGTGCCGATTGAGAAGCTTGCTGCCCCCGGATCGCAGTCCCGTTCGGAGAGACCTCAACATGATTAGTCACCAGCTGGAACTCTATTCTCAGCAGTACCGACCGCCCCCTTATCCTTTACGACCAATTTATCCGTGGATGCCCCTTCAGTAGCATGCTGACGACTGGTAGCAGATTTTCTACCCTTTGCCCCCCCAGCTCGACGCCATTCCTTCGTTACACGTGGTGTAGCTTCTGTCGACTGCTTATTGCCGACTGCACCAACCGCCTCAAAGTTAAATTCTTGCTCATTGGTGACGGCCCCCGACATGTTTAGCTAGTCAAACCGATTTCCATTTTGATACGAGTATGAGGTCCCACCTGTTGTCAACTTCTCACGACGGCCCATAGTTTTCCTAACCCTTTGCGGTACTTGCATCCACGGTCGGTACAATGATCCAACACCCTCATGCACTGTCGACTCTCTCTCATGCCCTCCCTGACCACCATCCGTCGAGCCTGCCTCTTTCCCATCCTGTGGACGTTCCCTCTCCAGGCACGAGGAGGCCTCATGGCCATACTTACCACAATGGAAACAAGTGTGTGGCATATTTTCGTACTCCACCCGTTGCATCTTCCCCTCAATCGTGAAATGCACGCACAGCGGCTTAGAAAGATCAACCAACACGGCCAGACGAGCGTATTTACCCCTCGTTAATGATGCAGTCTGGTAGTCAATTTTGACCACTTGTCCTACTAGTTGGCCAATTTGGCGAAAACCCCTTTTGTGATAGAGGTGTACAGGCATCCCCGACAACCGAATCCAAGCCACCACCTTAGACAGTTGCGACTTAGTCTCATCAAAATCCAATGACCAAGGTTGAACATGGAGGTACCCACTTCCCACCACATAAGGGCCCCCAACAAGAGTACGAACCGCATCCTCATGGGTCTTGAAATGAACCAGATAAAAGCCATTCTCTAGGTCCATCGTCTTACAACCCACCATATGAGGCCACATTTTCGTCAACCGATTATATAGGACCGCGTGCGACAGTGAATTATCCATAGGTTTAACTACCACAACATCCTTTCAATCCTTCGCCAAGAGCTCGAAGAATCTCGGCGTAATACGAACATCCGGTACTGATTGTGAGAAGTCCACCGAGATGTCCTCATCAACCCCATCCTCCGTTTCCGTCTCGGTTTCCACGATCACATGTGGGTCGTTCTTACTCACCATATCCCGAAAGCTTAAACGTTGGGGGGCAACCTCCGTCTCCTGGTGCCCTAGTGTTGGGGTTGCCTGCCATGGTCTCTCTCCAAGGCTCTCCTTATCTCCACCCGAAATCCCCGAATCGAGCGGACGCCGGCGTTTCGAGTAGCGACCTTTAACAAGCGGCGGGATAGTCGCTTTGTTCAATACCGAAAATTCCTCTTCGATCCCCTGTGTTCTCGACAATTTGCCATTGACAGGGTTGGCCTTTTGAGCCGAGCGAAAGTCGCACTGTGTGGCTGAGAATATGCCGCCTGGAGGATCACGGGGGTGAACGGAGAGAGTGGACTTGTCGGCGCCGCCGTCGAGGTTAGGGTCGGGATTCAAAGTTTCGTCAGACATTACTTTTTTTTTATCATATGCTACTTTTGTCTCACGTTTTCTGTCTTCCTCATTTTTCAATTGAACATACACTACTTTTTCGCAAAATACTACTCCCCAAAATCCGGATACATACATAATTCTCAGAATCAAACACGAAATGCTTGGAGCATGCCTTTCCACATGATATCCCATGCACCTTCAAGAATCCAGAAAAAGATCAATATTTTTATTGTTGTGCAAATGCAACATAAAGAAATACATCTCAGCCATTCCAAATCACCCATGAGTTTTAACAAAAACCCCACCCAATGAACCCCATAAAGAACACAAAGGAAAAGAAAAAGGCAAAACAAGTATGATCAAAGATCAAATTTTTTTTTTTCAACCAATGCCACACCAATGCAGAATAAAAAGGAGACACACTAGGAAATGGTGGGTCTCATCCTCAACTACCCATCATTTCACAGCTCTGAACACCAAAAGAAACCACAGTGAGCCGAAAGCAACTCCTAACCAACCCAGCCAACTCGTGCGAGTCACCTCACTCTCCAAGCCGAGGTCGCAATAAGTGGCCTCGTGTGCCAACCCAACATCAAGCACCCATCATCCTCTTCCACTCTGTACCCATCCCCGCCCGCAAACAGTGCCAGCAGCATACTCGCCTGCTTGTACGCATTCGAGCCCAAGTGGACTGGCTCGAACCCAGCCAACCCAAGCCTGTCCCTCCACTGCGCAAGCTCCTCATGCCTCTCAACCCTATCCGCTTCCTCGCACGCCACCACATTGCAAATCTGCCAGCCCAAGTAGACCTCCGTCATCACCCTGTCCTGCTCGCTGCCACCCAACCCGTCCCCGTGGGGCCCACACTCTTCCAGGGAATCGAAGAGGGTCGAGTAGTAGTGCAAGGACTCAGTAAATCGGTCAAGGAACCTGCTCCCATTGTGGCTGGCCTCTTGCTCGGCCACGGTCAGAATCTTGGGCCTCAATTCCTTGACGAATCCCAGAACCTTCTCGATGGCACCGGGCACCCCTAGCAGCCGGTGCAGCTCGAAGATGGAGTTGACGGCCACGGTCTCGTCCTCCCTCGGCCCTAAAACGGCTAGGTCGAGATCGGCCAGCGAGTTCACAACAAGCCCGCGGTACTCGAACTCGACCTCGATCGACTCGGCCAGCTTGGCCAGCCTCAGCCCAACTTCCCTGAGATGGTCAGTGTTGTCGTGAGAGGGAGGACCCACGGCGGTCAGCCTGAAGCTGGGCGGCCCACCTGGCCTCAGGGCCAGGGCCTGCAGGAGAGCCGGCCACTGCATACCCTGTTTCATGCTGAAGTCGATGACGTGGACCCGGTTCTTGCCGGCGAAGGCTTCAAGGATGGCTTGATTCGCGGTAAAATGGGCGAATTTGAGGTAGGGGCAGGTCTCGTAAAAGTGCATTTCTAACAAATCGGCAAGGGCTGCGTCTTGGGGGTTTGTGTGCAGTCGGTAGATTCTTCTGGCTAAGGCCTCCGCGAAATACGTGGCCACCTTTCTCATGGCGCCGGCTTGTGAGAGGGCCAGAAAGCCTATGTTTTTGACGAGGGCCTCGGCTAATTTGAAATTCTCTTGCTGCACGGCCTCCGCGCATGCCATCATAGTGTGGACGAGTCGGACGCCGTTCTCCTGCGAGTCAACCAGGACGACCGGCCGGGTCGACTCAACAGGACGGACGAAGACCGAGTCCCCGCGCGTGCTGGCGCCGGAATCGCCTCCTAGCAGGTAGGGAGAGGTCTTCAGCCTTTTGGACTGCGGCGGAGGGAGGTGGGATGGACTGGGGTAGACGGATTTCCCGGGTATGGCGATGAGATCCGACCCGAAACCAGAGTCGGGCATCAATCGGGAGTTGCGGGTGCTGGTGACGCTGGCGGAGCAGTTGTCGAGGGAGGAGGAGTCCAGAAAGGGATCTGAGCAGGAGTCGAAGTCGGGCAGCGGGTTAAGGCCGGAGATCATGGACTCTAGCCAGGAGGAGAGATCCGAGGGGTTGTAGTGAACGGTGTCGGAGGCGAGGTGGGAGAGGCCGTCGCGTGGGGCACTGCCCATGGCCTCCTCCAGCTGCTCGATCTTCTGGGCCACCACGGCCATGTCCGACGGCCTCACCTTGTACCCAAGGACGGCGAAGAGCTCGTCGACGCCGGCGTCCTCCGCCTCGCACGGCCACATCTTAGCCTTGCTCGACGAGCTTGAGCTGCCGCTGCTCGAGAAATTCTCTTGACTCATCATGTGTTCCCTTTTCATTATTGCTCTTTTCTTCTCCTACAAAAAAACCCCTTTTCTGTGAGGTGGTTGAAGAAGAAGAAGAAGAATCAAGGCATTGGGGATTGGGGAATAGGGTGCTTGGATTTTCACATAGCCTGCCTCAGCTTATCGTGAGTTTTGAGAGAGAGAGAGAGGGCAGTGTGTGACTGTGTGTGTTGGGGAGAGAGAAACTCTGATGCTATTGGGGACTACAATAATAGTTGGTACGAATTGAAGAAAGAGAGAGAGAGAGAGCAGAGGCTCGTGAAGGTGGGGGCACTGCGGGCACTACCTTCAATACTGAATAATTATCAATTGTTATTATTATTATCACATCTACTGTGTACAAACAGATCAACCAGTTGAGATGTCCCCTTTTCACCCTTATTCACAATTATAAGATATTTGATCCGTAATTTTTATTTTACCCAATGATCTATGAATACATTAACTTAACCTTATATATAATACTCTCTACTTATTTTTTTAATAAGTGTTATTCTAAGTAATTGCACAGTAATTAAGGGGCTTGCTTGTATATAAATTAATTTACTTACTTTTATTTCAACTCAAAACCTAACTCAACATTAACTCAACCCCACAATTTTTAATATGATTCATATAATTAAATAATACAAACCAATCATTCTTACACATCACATCAACTTTAATTCACTATTCATCCATTCACATAATTTTAACTACCTATTATTTTCAATCATTTACAATCATCTATCTCTTACTTTTACATCAAATCAATTTTAATTATTTTATTCTTATTTTAATACATTCTTAAAATGGGTCAAAATCTTTTTCACCCCGTTATAAATCTATTCTTTCTTTTACACACCGCCCCATCAAATAACTTATTTTACACCTCAAAACTCACGAAATGCTATGCAATATTACACTCGCATGTCCAAATGAACCAGCGCATATCCAATCGGCCGCATAATTTATGACAATGCGTAAACATTTCGCATTTTTTAATCGCATATCCACATCAAACGCATAATTTAGAAATGTGCGAACATCTTTCGCATTTTTAATAATCGCATATACAAATCGATTGCAGCATAATTTACGATGATTATGCGCCTTCTTATCGCAGGGCTATATCAACCTTGCAAATTTATGACTGCGAAAATATTCCGCATCTAATTCGCATAGTTTGTTGAATACGCATTTTCTGGTAATTGCATATCCAAGTCAATCGCATAATTTACTAATATGCGAAATAATTTCGCATATATCCTCCGGATAATTGACAATTATGTGACATTTTTTCGCTCGCATATTTAAGAATCGCATAGCCAAATCGAATAAAGCATATTTTTTTTTACGATTATGCGCCATTTTTTCGCAAGGCCATATCAACCTGGCAATTTTACGACTATTCGGAATTCGTTCGCAGATCTTTCGCATAAGTTGCGCACCTCATTAATTGACTGCTTTTTCACAGGTGAGGATTTGGTCTCTGCATTTATCATGCAGGCAAAAAAACGGCGATCTCTAACAATTTAACGCATACACCATTCATCTACTGCATTTTTCTGTTTCTTTTTTTTTAGTTCTTTTTGTTGTTCACTTATTTGAATGGGTAGCAACCGTGTTAGAGTATTGGTGCACTTTGGTGGTTCGTTTTGCGAGTGTTCATATCTTGGTGGAGTGGCAGAGCTGATGAGAATAAATTACAGCCGACAAATATATTCTGAAGTAGTTTCTCGTGCTCAAGCATTATTGAAGGCCGATCCTTGTAATTTTGAGTACATATTGTGGGCAGTATTTGATGGAAGGGAACGAGTTGTGAAGATGAAAATCGAATCCAGTGAGGATATCTAAGAGCTGATTGAAGAACAAAGAAATCTCAACATTTACGTGGAGTTGGAGAAGCGAGTAAATGTAGGGATTCCGGGGAAGGTGCAACAAAGCTTCACGCAAATGATGGCATCCCAAGGTGTATTTCTGAGTTCTTTTGGTGTTGGTAGTTCTGCATTTTCCCACGAGGCCCCATATTCACATCAAGCAGGCCCTAGTTCATTTACACATACTGGATATCCTCGGGGCGCTGATGATCAAACCTCGGGTTGTTCGAACCAACCAGGTCATTCTCGTGACGATGACAATAATGATGACCAAACCAACACGCACAATGGTGACACAGGCGACGAAGACAAAGAGGTCAATGAGAAGCAAATGTTCGTAATCCAGGTACAATTGTCGAAATCAGAATTGGGTTGACCTGCACACATCACACATGTCCCATAATAATCGCACAATTGAGTTGATTGCGCGTTTCGCATAACATGTCGCATAATTATCGCATAATCAGGTTAATTGTGCGATTCGCATAACATGTAACATAATAATCGCACAATTAGGTTCATTGTGCGATTCGCATAACATGTCCCGTAATAATCACACAATTGGGTTGATTGTGCGATTCCCATATCATATCCCATAATAATCGCACAACTGTGATGATTCGCCTAGTCTTCAACCGCATAATTAATGAATCGTATATCCAAATCGAAAGCCGCATAATTTACGACTATCCGCCATTTTTTTCGCATATCCATATGGACCGCATTGATTGATTGTATGCACCACATATCAAAATCGAAAGTGCTTCGCATATTATTCGTATACGTTATGCACCGCATTGATTGATTGTCTGCACCGCATATCCAAATCGAAAATGTTTCGCATATTGTTCGCATAAGTTACGCACCGCGTTAATTGATTGTCTGCTTTTACACCTAAAAAACAATGACGATTTGCATGCTTCTTCATTTAGTTGTTGAGTTGATTTATATCTCCCTAGCCTTAAATGCTAAATGTATTCATTAACCTTGCATTCTCTTTGTTGAAGAGGCGACCTTTCACTTCTCAAAACCCTATCTTTCCATCGCAGCCAAAAAAACAAAAAAAAAAAACCAAGGAGGCGCACGTTTGGAAAAAAAAAATGGAAAGGATTTCACCCTATGAAAAGATCGCGATCCGCTTCTGTGGCATGGACTGGACAGAGGAGGAGGAACGTATTTGCTACCAAGTGTTTTTCAAATGGTGTCGTCAGAAGGCAGACATACACAAAGGCCATGTGTTCAATTCCTTGTGGGCAGAAATTTCAATAGTCCTGAACCAATGGCTGAGTTATGCATTTAAGAGGAAGGTTACTATTTCTCAAGTCCGGCAAAAGATTCAGCGACTCAGAAATTATTTCGATGAATTTACTACTTTCCTGATGATTCCAGGCGTCCTCTTGTGTCGTGATACAGGCTTTGCTAGGGTTAACCACATGTACTGGGTGTATGTGGGGGAGGAGGTAAATTGCATTTAATTTTTTATTTTATTTTGTTCAAGCATGCATTTTTGTGACGCGGCCATAATAACCTAAAAAGATTTAAATTTATTACACATGAGACCGACACTCAGGCATTTTTCCGTTTGGAAGAATTCCCTTGGTATAGTGAGTGTTACGAGGTTTTTACCGAGCGCAACGCAGCGGCGATAGACTTGGAAGTCATCGATCTCGACCCTTAGAATCCACTGGACATGTAATCAAAAGTTGTTTGGCTTATTTTGTTGGACTGACTGCAGTAATAATAAATAATTTTTTCCTCTGTCAAGTACGTGTTTGTTTAATCATGATTCATATGTCAAAACAAAACAATATGTTGCATGGACAATTAAACTATTAATATCCGTGAACAAAGTTTTCCCAGCAAAATCAGTGACAATATTCGAAGGGAAAATATTATTGAAAGGAAATTCGCAGAATTGTGAACAAAGTGCGATGATCGCATTGTTCTCACATAACGTAATGAAAAAAAAAGTAATTTATATCTTTTAATCGCATATCCAGGCTAGATCAACCGCATCATCATTTAGGATATGTGGAAAACTGTCACGTAATTAGATTATCGCATATCCAACAGCATCATTTATGAGTATGCGACTATGCGGAATATGTTCGCATAATTTACGATTCGCAAATCTAAATCTATAAGGCTTAGATAACTATCGCTTATGCGTTATGTTTTCGCATAGTTACGAATCGCATATCCATATAAAACTTGCATAAATGTATCAATATGCGAACACATTTCGAATAGTGTTACGCACCGCTTTTTTTACCTAATAGTTTTTTTTTTAATTTATTAATTTAGTCAAAGAACAAGAATTTTTCAAAAATTATTATTTACCAACTCTCCAAAAATATACGACGTTTGTATGTCGCAATTTTGTACGTCGCAGAATAGAAAATTTACAAAAACAAACATAAAAAAATATATGTTAGTCGTTATTGTAATAGTGTTATGCGGTTTTTATGCGGAATTGTTTCGAGTAATAATCGCAGGTTCATTGACCTAATAGTAGTAGTCTTCAATTTATTAGTAATATAGTCACAGAACAAAAACTTATCAAAAATTAATTTTATAAAATTAATTATTTACCAACTCAGGGACTAATATGCGACGTTCGTATGTCACAATTTCGTATGTTGCCGAATAGAAAATTTACAAAAACATAAAAAATTAAATTTTATTCGTTATAGTACGAGTGTTATGAGATTTTTATGCGGAATTGTTTCGAAGTAATAATCGCAGGTTCATTCATCTAATAGTATTCTTCAATTTATATTTAATTTACAGACAAAGAAATTTCCAAAAAATAAATATTATAATTAATTATGCACCAATTCTGCGAATGATATGCGACGTAGTCTTAAATTTATATTTAATTCACAGACAAAGAACATTCTAAAAAATAAATATTATAATTAATTATGCACCATTTCTGCGAATGATATGCGACGTAGTCTTAAATTTATATTTAATTCACAGACAAAGAACTTTCCAAAAAATAAATATTATAATTAATTATGCACCAATTCTGCGAATAACATGCGACATATGTATGTCGTAATTTTACATCGACTCAACTACTTTACATCGAAGATTTTTTTATAATATAAATTATGC